TCTCTCAGTTTTCACTGCCTCGGGCATCACTTGTAACAGCAGCTCAAGCAAGGCCTTGTCATTATTTGTTTGTGTTACGGTTGCGCTTACGAACTGCTTCCAAGCTCAAGCCTTCTCTTCCTCAGCGGGTATGCTCATAGCACGCCAGCCTCCAACTGAAATTGGGCACCCTGGTCACACCAGGAGCTGCCTGGACCCCTCTACTGCTCTTTGCCAAGATCAGGGGCACCCTCATGCCACACAGACCACTCAACTGCCCTAGGCAGAGATCGGGCAAGGACCCCCTGACCAAGACTGTGCCCCCCTCCACCCATGGCTCCAGGCACTGTACAGACTCCTCTCCCCACTGAGACTGAGGCCCCCATTGTGCTGGGTGCTGCTTGGATCCCTACCCCCAATCATGACCAGAGCCCCCCACCACTGCACAGATCCCCCTCCTCCAACTGAAGGCTGCAGCTCTGTTGTGCTAGGAGCTGCGCAGACGCAGTGACAGGTGGTCCCTGCCCCAGAGAGCTCACAACAACAGGCAAAGGTAGGATCATCTCCCCATTTTACAGATGAAGAAAGTGAGACACCGAGGCAGGGCAGGACTGAATACAGGCATCCTGCACTCCACTCCAACCCCTCACACACAAACCCATCACCCCTCTCTGAACCCCAACATGCCAATCACCCCCTCCACCAAAGGCTCAGAACTCCAGGGCCCCAGTGACAACAAGGGACCGAGAGTCCCCTCTCGCCTAGAGTCCCCCACGCTGCTTCTAATTTCTGTGCCAAGTTCAGTGGTGAGGGGAGCTCATCTCCAGGGGAGAGTTAGTTCTGGGGATCAGGCCCTACATTACAGAGCAACAGCTCAGTGCAAAGCAGGGCCAGGGAGGCACGATGAGAAAGATACAAGTTCTACTCCCAGCTCTGCCACTGACCTGTGGGGTGACCTTGGGCCACATCCTTCACTGCTCAGTGCGTCAATTTCCCCTCCCACCCTTTGCCTACTTAGACTGGGAGCTCTTCAGTACAGACAGCCTGTCTGTGCACAAATGGGGCAGGGGGCAACCTCAGTGAGGGGTGTCTTTACAGCACCCAGAACAACAGGGGCCCTGGTCAGAGCACTAAGCCCTACTGAAATACATATGCTAAATCATGCCAGGGCATGAATGCAAGATCAGGTGTCGCAGGACCCCAAATTGGGGCATCAATGCCAGGACCCCACACCCCAGGTTACCAAGAGTGACATGCACGAGTGGCACTAGTGTCAGGAGCCTAACTCCAAGTCTGCAGTGAGGGGCCTGAGGTGGACTCACCATGTAGAGCAGGAAAGGGAAGGTGAGCAGGAAGATCCAGGTATAGAGGTGGAAGCAGTTAGAGAAGGTGCTCTGGTGGGGATCGAAGAACCAGCCGCCCGTCAGCGAGGCCCAGACGCCCTGGCGCAGGATCTGCAGCACCTGCGAGCCCATGGCCACGGCGGTGCCTCTTCCTCCTCCCCCTCCGCCCGTTCCTCCTGCTCAGGGAACGTGACTGCCAAGCTTGCACCTGTAATATCCTTCATCAAGGCAACTTGAAGGCCATGATCCGCAGGCTGGGACCCCAAACACCAACCCCACCCCTCTCTCCGTTAAACCAGGCTGCACTCCTCCAGCGGGGATGGGCACCTCACACACCCACACGTGAGACCCTCAGCTACCGCTGCTGTGAAGTCTCACTAGCCATCCGGGGTGCTCTTCTCTCTCCCCGGCAACAAGCCGCCTCTCTCCCTCCACGTTCACCACCCGCCACTCCGTTCATGCCATTATGATTGCCGGAGAGGGGTGGTCTCCACTGTCACAAGGAAATTACAATTAAACAGTGGAGGGGCTGAGGAAGGAGGTAGGGTGGCAGGGAGCTAACTCTCCAGTGGAGGGGACTGCCTCAAGTAGAGGTGGGACCAACTGAGGGCATAGGAGAGGGCGCCCTGGGGAACAGGCTGGCACCTGCCTTGTTGCCACTGAACAGCAGCCCAGCAGATGGGGACCCCAGGAGAGGGGAGGCTCAGTGAGGTGAATGGCCCAAGAAGGGTAGTGGTCAGCACAGTGGTGAGGGGGGACCGCGGGTGGGAAAGCACGACCCTGTGGAGAGAGTAGCTAGTGCAGTGGGGGCAGGGGAGCAGGACTGGGGGGGGCAAGCAAGTGGGGACCCAGGCAGGAGGGTTGGGGGGCAGGGGAGCCAAGGCAAGAGGGAGCTTAGGTAAGGGGCAGGGGTGGGGAACCCCACAGGTGAAGGACCCAGGCAGCTGGGGGGCCCAGGGATGGGGGGACAGGGGCAGGGGACCCCACTGGTGAAGGGCCCAGGCAGCCGGGGGAACCCGAGGGTCGGAGAGCCCAGGAATGGGGGAGTGCGGGCAGCGGACCCCACGGGTGAAGGGCCCAGGCAGCCGGGAGAACCCGCGGGTAGGAGGGTCGGAGCCAGCCCGAGCGGCGCCCACCAGGCACCCAAGAATGCTAAGGGGGTCCCAAGATCTTGTTCACTTCCGGGGTCAGAGGTCAGTTCGGTAGCCCCGAGCGGAGGGGGCACCCGGCCGCGGCACCTCAACCCAACTAGAAACTGGGGAGGCCGGAAGAAGAGCCCCGGGAGCAGCAGGAACACCAGGAGAAGCACGCATGCGCCGATCACCTCCCCCCCATATACACACACACACACACAGCCAGGAAGCGGAAGTGAAGGTGCTTGGGTCAACTGAGAAACCGCTGACGGCTGAAGCATCACTGCGCATGCGCTGAATTGTTTCCTCTATACGCATGCGCACTACTACCACGCTCACCGGCCCAATGAGAAATTGTCTCTGTGCGCGTGAGCAGATTTCGCGGAACTTTGTTCACGCATGCGCATTAGGTTTTATCTCCGCCATTCTTCCCTCTCAATCGGGTTCTTCGAGCGCTGAGGCGCTCGGAGGTGCGCATGCGCACATAAGTTGAGGGCCCTAAATGGGCAACTGATCCCCAAGGCGGATACAGGATGGTGAACTGCGCATGCGCATGGTCCGGGCGTTCGCTCGTGCGCTCTCTAGGTCTTAATTCCTATTGGACTGGATAGTTTGATCGATATTTTATTCCCCCAATGAGCATTGAGGAAGGGTTAAAGGGGTGTGTTGGGGGCGCGAATGCTCCCTAACCAAATAATAGGCTAGAGAAGAAGGGGGAGGGGGTGGTGAGTGGGAGAGCTGAGCTGCATCAGTCTGGGCTTCCGGGTGTCTGCCCGCCCATGGGGCCCGGTTAGCTGGGCACTGGCAGTCCCCATGGGGCTGGATTTGGAAGGGTAGCCCAGGCTGTGGCAATGTCCATCCTGTCTCCCTACCAGGTTCCCAGGGGATGATGTTCACTGCTGCTTCATCAGGATCCCAGGCTCCTGGGTAGGACCTGGGGCTCTGATGGGCACTGGCTGCCCCAGATGTATGGGGCCCACAGCCAATAATCTGTGACCCCGAGTTGGACGCTTGAGTTCTTTTCCCCATCACAGGCTGTCAGTGGAGCTTGAACAACTCCACCCAGGCCTCCAGGCACCATCTTCAAAGCTACACGTGTCACTCTGTTCGCCAGCTGCAGTAGTAGGCTAGTATTCCATACAGGGCTCCTCTTTTGTATTGGAGGTAGAAAACTGGGTCAGAGTGAGTGGGGTTAGGAATAAGCAGGGTGCATACCCCTCATCCTCTCCCCCTTGCTGAGGGGAAGTCAATGGAGTGATGCCCAAGGATCAGACCCCAATTGGAAGCAATGAGGATTGACAGTTAATGATTATTTATTATATGAATTGCAAAAGCTTTCTGCACAGACAAAACGTGAGTGACAGTCCCTGATCCAAAGAGCTCACAGTCTAAATAGTGTGAGGGAAAGGACTCAGTTAGGGTCCCACAGCAGACCAATGTCAGAATCAAAAATAGAACCCAGGAGTCCTGAGTCCCAGTCAAGTGCTATCACTATGGGGTCAAGGTCCATACAGTGCCCAGTGCAATGGGGGCTCCGATCTTGGTTAAGGTTTATACATTGCCTAGCACAACATGGCCCTGATTTCAGTCAGGGTCTGTGCAGCATCCAGTTGGAGAGGGGCCGTGATCTCTGTCAGAGTCTGCCCAGCACTATCGTATACACACACTAATAGTCTGAGACAGTCCTTGCCCCAGAAAGCTTACCACAGGCCCCCCGGCCTAACTCACTCCGCTGCCGCTCCCAGAGCTAGGAAGAGAACCCAGGCGTCCTGGCTCCCAGCCCCTCCCCCACTCTAGTCGGACTCCTGAACTGTGTCTCCGCTCTTGTTCCTTTTCCTTTGTCCCGGTAACAATGTGACCCGCTCCGCCTTCCTGGTCCCAGACTCCACCCCAGAGCCTGTGCGGGGCGGGGGGACGGGCCAGGCCAGCGGGCGCTGCACTGAGGGAGCCGGAGCACACCCCGGGAGAGACGGGGCCGCCGCCGCGGACGATCGATCTTTGCGCCCGGAGCCCGCTGGTTTCCTGTGGGTGCCGGGGGTGGCCAGCGACTGAGGGGCAGAGGCATTTCTCACGCCCGGACCGGCCGGGATCCTGGAGAGACGCCCCCAGGAGCGGCGGCTTCCAGCCGGGGAACTTCTCCAGCCGAGGCATTTCCTCCTCTCTCTACCGCGGCTTGGGACAGAGCTCGGGCCGGGCCAGGAGGGAGCGGGGTCTGGGCACAGCAGGGCACGGGGAGCCGGGGCCTCTGGGTACTTGGAGATCGCCGGGGCCGTAGCTAGATCGGAGTGGAGGACCCTGCAGGCAGAGGGGCACTTCTGTAGCCCTGGGGGGATAGGCTGCAGGGGGCGGCCCTGGGAGAGGGGACACGCTGTAGCAGGCGATCCTGGCCCCTGTGGGGGGGGGGGGACAGGCGGGAGGGGGGGGATCCTAGCCCCCGGGGGGGGGGGGGGGGGGGGGGGGGGGGGGGGGGGTGGTCCGGGTCCCTGGGGGAGGGGCAGGGTGTAGGGGGCTATCCTAGCCCCTGTGGAGGGGGGCAGGCTGTAGGGGATTATCCTGATCCCTGTAGGGGGTGAACCTGGTCCCTGTGGGGGGAGCAGGCTGTAGGGGGTGATCCCACCCCTTGTGAGGGGGAATAGACCAGAGAGAATAAGTCTGTGCCCCCCGGAGGGGGGGGGAATAGACTGCCAGGGATCATTGTGGCCCCTGGCAGGGGGAATAGATTGTAACTGGGATGATCCTGCCCCAGCAAGAGGGGGATTAAACTGTAGGAGCTGATCCTGGTTCCCAGATGGAAGGGGACTCCTGTAAGTGGGCGGGTTTCCCAGCCCCATAACCACCCTGCTACCGTGAGACCCCTGCGAGCCGGGACCCCCAGCCTGGCCTTGCAGCACCTCTCAGGGAAGATGCCCATGCCGTGAAGGGCCACATCTGGGCAGGGTCCCGCTAGAGGCTGCCCCCAGCCTCTGACCCAGGATGGAGCCACTGAAGAACCTGCTGCGGAAGGGCGCATGGGGGCCGGAGCGGAGTGGCGGGGCGGCTTACACCAACCCGGTGTGGACAGCGCTCTTCGACTACGAGGCGGCAAGCAGCGACGAGCTCAGCCTGCGCCAGGGGGACCGCGTGGAGGTGCTGTCGTGGGATGCCACTGTGTCTGGTGATGAGGGCTGGTGGGCAGGCCGAGTGCGGAGCCAGGTGGGCATCTTCCCCTCCAGCTACGTCTCCTTGCAGCCCGTCGGCTATGGCGAGGCTCCAGTTCACGCCGACTTCCGGGAGCTGCGGCTGGAGGAGGTGATTGGGGTGGGGGGCTTCGGCAAGGTGTACCGCGGCAGCTGGAAGGGCGAGCTGGTAGCGGTGAAGGCGGCGCGCCAGGACCCGGATGAAGACATCAGTGCCACAGCGGAGAGTGTGCGCCAGGAGGCCCGGCTCTTCGCCATGCTGCGCCACCCCAACATCATCACCCTCAAGGCCGTCTGCCTGCAGGAGCCCAACCTGTGCCTGGTGATGGAGTATGCGGCTGGGGGCCCACTCAGCCGCGCCCTGGCCGGGCGCAGGATCCCTCCCCATGTGCTGGTGGACTGGGCGGTACAGATTGCCAGGGGCATGCAGTACCTGCACTGCGGGGCCATCGTACCTGTCATCCACCGCGACCTCAAGTCCAACAACAGTGAGTGTCACTCTGCAGTCACACTGTCCCATGGGATCCCTCTAGCTCCATTGGTGTCCCTCAAACCCGACCTGCCGGCAGTGGCAGAATAGCCATTTGGCCAACGGGGCCTGTGCCCAGGGGCCCTGGTCAGTTGGGTGGCCCCTGGAAAAATGGGCACCCCGTGCCCTGACTAACTCTGCCTGCCTGGCGCTCCTGCCAGGGAAAGCCCCTGCATCCCAACCCCGCTCCCCAGCAAGAGCGCTGGAAGGGGGGGCAGGGCAAGCCCCCGCACCCCAACCCCATTTCCCTGGCAGGAGCGCCAGGAGGGGGTGGGGAGACTGCAGGCAGAAGGGGTGGGGAGGGCCCTCCACTTGCTTTGGTCCAGGGCCCCACAAACCCCTAATCTGCCTCTGCCTGCAGTCCACTGGTGTACCTCAATCCCAACCTGCAGCCTCCTGCTATCCCAGCCCTGCCCCCCTCCCTGCACCTCTCACACAGCTCAGCTGGTGCATCTGAGTTCTGACCTCACTGACCCTGGGCAGCAGGAAGTGATGACAGTTGTGGGACCTTAGAAAAATGTTTGATTTTTAACATGTACATAAAATGCAGGGGGCGGGGAATGGGATTCAGGCTTTGGCCCTCCCAGGGGCACTGGCTCCGATCTAGCCCCAGGGTCCGGGACTTGCTGGCTCAGGGGGTTCCATTGGATTGAATGAGATACCAGGAGCGTTAGGGCATGTCTACACTGGGATAAAAGACCACTGCACAGCCACAGCTGGTCCGGCTCAGCTGACTCGGGCTCGCCAGGGTCTCAGAGCCTGGGCTCCAGCCCGAGCCCAAACGTCTACACTGCAATTTTACAGCCCTGCAGCCCGAGCTAGGTCAGCAGAGCCGGGCTCAGACTTGGTGCTGCGGGTTTGTCATCGCAGTGTAGATGTCCCCTTAGAGGCTTGAACGGTGAGGGAGCCTGGGGCCAGACTGAGCTTGATTAGGAGGAGTGGAGGTGAATGGTTAGAGCAGGGGAGGCTGAGAGTCTGTCCCCAGCTGTGGGAGGGGAGTGGAACCTAGTGGTAAGAGCAGGGGTGGGGTTAGAAGCCAGGACTCCTGGGTTCTATCCCTGTTCCTACCTAATAAATAATGAACTGGTTAAGTGGAAGGTTGGGGTCATGACTTTAGCCCTTGTTGACCCTGTCCATGTTAGGATCCCACTGGCTCCTAAGGAGCTGATTGGCTGGCACTCCCTTGGCCTAGGCCACCATTGAGTTCCCAGCATGCCCTGGTGCAGGGGGTGGGCAGGCGGGGGCTGTGGCTTGTGTGGTGCCTGGATCAGCGCTCCTGCAGCACTGGGAGGAGCTGGGGTGGGCAGCTGGGGCTAGAAAGGGTCACAGGGCAGGGGGTGGGGTGGCGAGACTGAGGGGGACTAGACACACGCTGGCAGGAGGGCACAGGGACACATGCCAGCTGCCCCTTGTGTTTGTGCCTGGTGGGAGGCACAGGCTCACAGCTGGCTCTGTACAAATGGCCCCTCCCAGGCTAAATCCCCAGGTTCCCTCCCCTTTCCGGGGCTGCAGCCAACCCCCAAGGCAGGGGTGGCCTTCCTCAGGGACTGGGAGACGGCAGCATTGGGGCGCAGGCTGAGATTGGGACCCTCGGGGGCTTGATGCTGTACAGATCACGAGCCCCCCAACTGAGATCAGTGCCCCATGGGGCTGGACTCCACACAGACCCTGACTCCCACCCCAATTGAGATCAGGGCCTTGTGGGGCCAGACGCTGCACAGACCCCCAACCGAGATTGAGGTCCTGTTGGGCCAGGCACTGCACATTCCCAGAGTGAGAGAATCTCTGCCCCTAAGAGCGCACAGTTTGAATTGACTAAAGGGTGGGAGGGGAAACTGAGGCACTGGGGAAGGAAAGGGACTTACCCAAGGTCAGAGGCAGAGCCAGAAATAGAACCCAAGAGTCCTGACGCCCAGCCCCCACTGCTCTAACCACTAGCCTCCACTCCCCTCCCAGAGCTGAAATCAGTGTGGTTGGTGGTGGGCGCAGTCATTAGCCCACACTGGGGGGAGAGGAATGTGTCAGTCTCTATGACCCACCCCGATATGGCTGCGGGGGTCCTGTTCCCAGGCTGAGCCCCTCCCCCACCCTGCCCGTTTCCTGTCTTTCTAAATTAGACTGGTTCCTGTCTGCCCAACTAGCTCTGGAACCGGCTCCACTGGAGGTGCCTGTAGCTGGGGCGGTGTTTGGAGGAGGGCAGTGCTGCCTATCCTGCCCCCACACAGTGAGGAACTCCTTTTAATGGGGTCCTGGCCTGCCCGAGGGGCGTATGGGCTTTGGGGGACACGGGGAGGGAGGACACTGCTTGGGCAGGGGTCTGGTATTGGGGTGGCTGAGAGGGACTGGGAAGGGAAGGCCACAGTATGGGGAAGAGAGACTAGGTTGGGGAGAGGAGTATTGGGGGGCTGTGGTGGGGATGTAGAGCACTGCAGCATGGCAGGATCCAATGGGGGGAGGTCACAGCATGGGGAAGAGGGATAAAATTGTGGCTGTTGGGGAGGGGAGGAGTTATTGGGGTGGCTGTGGGGTGGGGACTATTGGTGGACTGCAGTGGGGGAGGGGTTATTGGGGGATGCAGGCTGGGGGAAGGGCATTGAATGGGGGGCTGTGGTGGGCATTGGGGGCTGTGGTCTGGAGAGCAGAGGGGGTGTGGGATGGGACAGTGGGGGCTGTGATCTGGGGGCCCCTAGGGTGGGGGAGGGAGTATGGGGGGCTGCTGACAGGGGGCAGTTGGAGCTGTTGTCCAGCCGTCCGCCCGGCCCCCAGCTGTGGGAGCGCCTGGCCTGGCCCAGGGCCTCCCTTCTCAGCTTCCTTCCGGCAGCTTCCTGCCCTGGTTTCCTGCCCCCCTCAGCTGGCAATGGTGGGGGGAGAAGAGAGAAAACAGCAGACAGGGAGGGAGTGTAAGTGCAGAGGACCCAGGAGAGGGGATGGCAGAGGTGAAAAGGGGAAGGACTCGGGGGGGGGGGGGG